AAAAGCAGACTGAGTACTAGAGATAAGAAAAGGTAAATCAATTTTCAATCTCTCAGCCAAGACCTTTGCAATAATTTTATAGAGGCTAGTAAGTAGACTGATTGGTCCTATGTCAGACAAATCCAAGATCAAAGATCTCTTGGGGATAAATGCCAGAAAAGTAGAATTCACCCCTTTGAAAATATCTCCTCTAATCAAGAACCTTCGAACAAAATCCAACAAATCACCCCTCACCAAATCCCAAAACTTATGAAAGAATACTAAGGGAAAACCATAAGGACCCCGAGCTTTATCTTCAGCCATAGAGAACACGACCTTATGCAGTTCCTCCAAAGAAACCTCCCTCTCCAAAGTAGTTTTCATCTCGACTGACAGCAATTTAAAGGGAACTCTGCTAAAAGAGGGTGAGAAATTCACTTCTTTAGTGAAAGCCTTCATAAAATGGTTAATGACTACCTTTTCAAGTGCTTTCTCATCTTCAGAGTCTACTCTAGGAATTGTCAAACCAGAAAGATCATTTTGTCGTCTTTTTAATCTGGAAAAAGCATGAAAATATTTAGTATTAAGGTCACCTTCCTTTAACCATTTAGATCTAGACCTTTGTCTCCAGTAAACTTCCTCCGATCTATGAAGTTCCTCTAGTTCCTTAACTTTCAAGCATCGATCCAACACATCTTGTTCCAAAAGCACACCATCCGATTGGATGTTGAGGTCTAGCATTTCTATATCAGTAAGAGCACCATCAATTTTAGCTTTGATATCAAATTTGTTCTCTTTCTTTCAAGCAATCAATTTATGTTTGATATTAAAAAAGCTTTCTGTTCAATTGGAAGTCCAATGTGCCCTCTACAATAGTGTTAACCCCTTAATCAGCTCGACCACATCTTTCTCTTCCAGCAAAGCCACATTTAGACGAAAAGGTTTCGGCCCTCCCTTTAACAAACCCATATTAAGCAAAATGGGGCAGTAGTCCGAGGAGATTCTAGGTAAAGCTTTCACCGACGCAAGAGGAACTCCTCCAACTATTCCACCGATGTAAAAAATCTATCTAGTTTTGACATAGATAAATTCATGATACTATTATTGGACCAAGTGAATTTAGATCCAATAATAGAGAGATCCATCAAGGAATTAGTTTCAATAAATCTATTAAACATAAGCATTTATGTATTAATAGGAGTACATGCCAGACATTCATCCGGTCACCGAATAAGGTTAAAATCCCCCACCAACAACCACATGAAAAGAACATGATTGAATAACAGAAGAGAGCTCATTAAGAAAGCTTTCTTTGAGAGCAGGCACAGTGGGCCCATACACATTCAAAAGACCGCAAGAGAAATCCACATTAGGACTATGGAAACCCACTAGTAAGAAGAAATCCTTGATAACAATTTCAATATTCACCAAAACCAAAGGATCCCAGAGGACCCATAGGCCACCCGATGCCCCAGAAGCATCTATCCCATAAAAAGCAACAGCCGCAGTACCCCAAACCTCCCGGGCCCCATAAACATTAGAACTCGGGAGCTTCGTTTCTTGCAAGAGCAAAACAACATGCCTATATTTTGTAACAAGCAACCGCACATCCCTCTTCCTACTGGGATGGCCAAGACCCTAATATTCCGTGATAAGAGACCCATTGAAAACCAGAAAGGGAGTTAGAGGAAGAACCAGTTCCTACGGGACCAAAGGCCAAGTACACCTCCTCCAGAGCCATCGCCTCCTTCAGTTCATCATCTTCATCATAGGATGACGAAGAGGAATCGTGCGCCTCTTGCGGCTCAGAAATCACAATTGCCGAAGACGCGCCACCACTGGCAATAACATGGGCTTGAAGTCTCGCAGAAGAACAAACTCCTTTCATGACACCCTTTTTCTTTTTATCAGCAACATATTCTTTAGCCGGGGTCTTGGCAGCAACATCAGAACCAACGTCTAACTCCCAAAAATTGTTGGGAAGCTTCCCACTCACAATGTCCCTCTCTACTGCTAAGCGAGTCTTTTGATGCTCCTTGATGTCCTCAAAGATCATCCGCAATGGTATGCCATCCATACCAATGTCTTCCACTAACTTGCCAATAACATGAGCATCCTCCACCGCAGACCCATCCTCCACCTCAGACCCCACCATTGACTCTGTGGTCCTTTCCACCTCTGGTTTTCTAGAGTGACCAGAGGAATTGCTGAACTGCATAGGGCTCCCGGTAGCATAACCCCTACGGCCTTCCGCCATAGAAGTTTTCGACTGACTAGGCTCAACGGGGGGACTCACCACAGGGTTCTTGAAGACCACCAAGTTCAGTGACGGAATATAAACTACTGCATCATAGTTATCAATGGAAAGGGGCATATGTTCGAGAGTAGCTTCCTCATCATCAATCGTTACTACAGCACGGGGATCGATAATCAGAGGGTTGAAGCCCTGCCTAGGAGTCATCTTGGAAACTTTTGCCACTGCCCGATGAGATGGAAGTGGATACATACTCACCTTCCAAAGAATAGCCAACAAGACACATAAGAAAAGTTGAGAAAAACACTGATAAGAATGAACCTTTTGGGCTCTCAGTCGCAGTAAAAGGAATAGAATCAAAACAATGGAAAGAACTTCCCCTTTAAGCTCCAGCTCTTTCCAAAAGGAGGAGAGGAGAATGGAAGTCCAAAAAGGGAATTCCCAAGTGGAAGCTCTGCCACAACGAACAAGAAAGATTTGACATGGATATCGATAACAGGTAAGTCAATCTTGGGACTAGAATCCACCGCCCCAGCCAGCTTATCTAACTTTTGCGTCTTATCAGCCGTAGATGTACCTATCGAAGTACACAAGAAAGTGTGATCTTGCAGAGACTGGTCTTGTTGAACTGTTGGACACGCCCTTGGAAATCGACGATGTACTCGATGCATCCAATTTTAAACCATCCGCAAATCCTCTCGAAGAATCCATCTAGGAATCTACCTATAGCAATCCAACGTTTTATGATATTAGGCGTTACCTTATTTTTGAAATTCGAATTCATAAAATTACACCTCATGATCTTCCCCCCTTGAGGGTGATTCTGGTTCCCAGAAGAAGACTTTCCGGTCGTTCTCCTCATAGAATCCATTTGGAAATATGAGCCATGCAGTTCTCCTTCCTTGGTCATCTCCTGCACAAAAAGGTGTAATAGAGATTTCAATGAAGCTTTCACATTAATAGAGATTTCAAAGAAGCTTCCACTCAAGCACAAGATAATGGATCTTGGGAAAAGGAGGCCAGAGCATTTGCCAACCTTAACTCGCACAGCACTGCATATCGGGCTCAAAAAAGGGTCCCAGTCCAAATCCAAATAAACCCCAAACTGACCTACCACTTTTTTAATAATGGTCAAATTCCAACCAGAAAGGAGGAGGCCCCACGACTTCAACCAAATAGAATCCACAAGAATAAAAGAAGAGTGATCAGAAGGCTTCCACTGATCTAAAGAAAGAGGACTGCCGCGAATACTACAAAATCTGTTGGACAAAGCTTTCCTCACCTCGTCCTTGGAAAGCAGCTTAAAAACCATTTTGTTTGGGCCAATAGCTTTAACATCGTGACTGTAGGATAAGCTCCACCATCTTTGGACCCAATCAGAAAGGCTAAAAAGATCAGAAATGGAATATGGTTATTTGCGCTTTCCTCACCTCGTCTTTGCAGCATAACTTCTTTGGATGGAATATGGTTATCTGCACTTCTTTGGCCCAAAGCATGGATTGATTGGTCTGCGAGATTAAGCTATCCACGAGTTGTGCTACCCAAACAAGCTTAATACCTGGATAACCATTTTCCTCGATATAATTTCCCTATATTTTTAAGCCATTTTAAGGATTTTCGAAACTAGAGCACAATCTTTCAACATTATTTAGGGTATGTGAGAATGTCTATAGTTTTTGCTTATTTCACGGTTGGCCAGCTTTTCTCTTTGTTTGGGTGAAAATTGCCCTAAAAATTTTATACGTTCGACTACTTCATTATCAACCACCATAGTTGTTGGAGAGCTGAGTGATGGAAGTGGGACGCGCCCTTGCTTAAATTGTTTAAGTTGACATGCAAACTATGGTCCCTCGACCCATTCATGTAGGTTGTCGGACAGAGGTAGAAAAGCACCGGCATCTTGTGCCACACTTAGAGTAAAACAACTGCTAGACCCATCAAACAATTGCCGGACCACCTTCCTTTTTGCCTGACCGACAACCTAAACAGAAAGACAACGGTAGGATCTAAAGTTGGATGTGTCAGACTATGTACAGCTAGTGCCGGACTGCCTTTCTTGCTACCGGACCGAGACCACGTTGTGGATATAGGTGAAGATTAAAAGAAGGTATTTTGGTCATCATTTTACCCTTTTTTTTCTTTTATTGATATATTTATTTTTGATATATTTATTTTTGACTTGGAAGAGTATTTTTTGCAGGAAAAGTTAAACGGTGTGGTTTTTATAAGGTTGCAACCTCAAACAATCCAATTAAAGCGCACCTCTAAATTTTGTCACAACATGTAATTTTGGTGTAATTTTTTTTTAAAATTATCTTAAAATCTATTTTCATATCTACTTATAAAGTTTTAAACTTCAAAAATGATTAAAATCAGGTAGATCTATAATCATACAAAAATCTTGAAAATAGATGGTGCAGATCATGTGTGGCAAGATGTACTATTCTATAGACTCAAAAACTTTTTTTTTTTCGTATTCATACATCTCGATGTTGAGATGATCTAGAGGGTTTTAGCAACATTAAAACAACAATTTTTGATGAATTTTTGAGGTGCATATGTAATTATACATTTTAAAGACCTTATACGAACTTTTTTCAAAGTTAAATTTGATGTAAAAGTTGTCAAAATAAAAAAATAAAAAAAAAGAATTATTGATGAGAAGTTGGAGAAAGTCTGATTGTACGGACTTTTGCGTTTTTCCGTAGATTGTTCAAGTTATATGCACCGCGCCAGTGAGTTTCAATACTTCAACGGCCCCTCCCGCCGCCCTCCCGCTCCCCTCCCGCCCCTCGCCCTTTAAACAGCCGCAGCAGAGGGGAGACAGGCCATGGCCACCATACTACGCCGCTCCATTCTCCACCGCCACCCTTTCCACACACTCCCCTCGCTCTCTACCTCCTCGCCAGCCCCAGCCCCAGCCCCAGCCCCAACCCCAACCCCAACCCCAACTTCAACTCCAACTCCTTCTCCCTCCCGCTTCCTGCGCCACTGCAAGGACACACCCCCGGAAAGCAGCGACCACTTGCCCTTCCTCCGTTTCCCTCAAACCCGCATCTCGACGATTCGCAACAGCGGCCTCCGCGTCATCACTCAGTCGTCGCTCTCGTCACGCACTGCCACTGTTGGAGTGTGGATTGATGCCGGCAGCCGCTATGAGGCCCCAGGCACGAACGGCACTGCACACTTCCTGGAGCACATGTTGTTCAAGGGGACAAGGAGGCGCACTGCCAGGGGGCTTGAGGAGGAGATTGAGAATATGGGGGCGCGCCTCAATGCCTACACTTCGAGAGAGCAGACCACGTTCTACGCCAATGTGCTTGAGGCTGATGTGAATGCAGCGATCGATGTGCTCGCAGACATCTTGCAGAATTCGAGGTTCTCGGAGAATGCCATACTGCGGGAGCGTGCTGTTATACTTAGGGAAATGGAGGAGGTATTTTTCCACTATCTCTCATTCCTATTTCTTAGTTTTAAAGTCTTTGGGAGAGTGGAAAAGGTGTCGTTATGCCTCTCTTTTTGTCTATTTTTTTTCTGAACTTTCTCCATTTTTTTTTCTGAACTTCCTCCGTTTGTTTTCTGAACTTTCTCCATTTTCTTAGTTTTTAAAGTCTTTGGGAGAGTGGAGTGGAGGAGTAAAGGGGCTTGCTTCCACATTTCTTAGTAGGCCGTTTGATCTTGTGTTAGGTACCCAACCACTACAGTCCAAAACCCTTGGGTGATTGAGACATGGATCGTAACATACCACCACGCCCCGCAGGCGACGTCCTTGGCGACTCTCACCCTATGGTTGCTCTCACTCTGAATTTATTTTTTCAGGTAGCCCTTTCCTAGGATGTGAACCTGGGTCACAGTGGTTTCTATGATACCAAATGTTAGGTACTTAACCAATGCACCCCAAAACCATGAGTGATGGAGACGCAGAAAGTTAGGCCTTTAAACCACCTAGGATCGTAACATCTGGTCAGTCAAATTTCTGGGGTGTATAATTTTCTCATTTTCTTGGAATTGTTCTGTCGTTTTAATATACTCTTTTTTTTGCTACTTCCTTTTTTATTCTTTTGCGTGGGTGAATGGGTCATTGAGCAGTAAATGGTCTATTTCCTTTTCCTCTTTATCAGTGGCATTGTGTGTGTGTGTCTTTTTTTTTAAAATATTTTTTAGTTTTGAATTTGTACTGTTTGGTTGTGTTGGATAGTTCAGAGCTCTTTTGCTGCTCTTTTGTGCTTTCTTGAGGACATTGAGAAGTTTTTTATGTTTCCACTGGTTTCTTTCTTTGCCCTATTCCTTTTTATGGTGCGAGTTAGCATCCTCTTTTGTTGCGCTGTTGTGCTTAATTGAGAACATAGAGAATGTTATCATGTTTCTAGTATTCTTTCTTTTTCCATTCTTTTACTCTGATCATGTTGTAATGGGAAAGGCTTTTGCCTGAAAGAAAACATCAAGTTATCTGCAGAATGATGCATGCTTTTAGTTATGTTTACCTGAAAAATGACTTTTGTAAGAAATCCCTGAATCTGGTTTTGTGAAGGGGTTCATTATTTTTGGATTTCAATCATTTTATTCATGCATTATTCTCTCATTGATTGTTCTTGGTTTTACAAAGATTCATGACTGATGCCCCATTAGATTTTAACTCAACCTTTGGAATTGTATTTCTTTACACTTGTTTTGACTCATACTCACACACATGGATTTACGGCACATGCACATTTTGTTTGCTTAAAATCCCCTCCCTTTCTTTAGTTCTCTCTGAATACTGTTTAGCTGTTGGTCTAAGTGGATAATCCCTCAGAATAAACAATTTTTGTTTTGTGTGGCAGGTGCATAGTCAAACTGAAGAACTCATTTTTGATCATTTGCATTCAGCGGCATTCCAACAAAGTCCATTAGGAAACACCATTTTGGGCTTCCCCGAGAACATCCGAACCATATCAAAAGTTGACCTGTTGGAGTACATAACCACTCACTATAGTGGTTCTAGAATGGTGTGTAGAACATGAATGCTTCTTATGTTTCCCTTCTAGACTTGGGACAATCAATTTCAGAATTGTGAGCCATTTTCCTTTTTGTAATTAATGAAAAAACAGTAGATCAGTTTGTGTTCCTCTCATAACTATCTTGTGTTAATCCTACAGATTAATCCTACAGAATAAACCTTGTATTGCTGCTTTGAGTGACTAAATGTACATCTAACGCTGCCTCAATAAAATGTGACTAACCAGGTCATATCTGCTGCTGGTGCAATTAGACATGAAGATATTGTGAATCAAGTAAAGAGACTATTCAATCGCTTGAATCCAGATCCCACCACTGTGGCTCAGTTGGTTAGAAAAGACCCATCTGTCTTCACTGCTGCAGAGGTAATTTTTCTCCATGTGTTTGTTCCATGCCTTCGTGGAGAATTTTGTAGAGAAGTCTTCTAAACTATGTTGATTCCTTTGTGTTTCTAGACACGTGTGGTGAATGATGACATGTCTATTGCACATTTTGCTGTGGCTTTCAAAGGGGCTTCATGGACTGATCCCTATTCTATTCCTTTAATGGTAATACAAAGTTTATTGGGTTCATGGAACAAAAGCGTTGGTGTTGGCAATTGCTCTGGGTAATTTCTTTTTATTATATATATTCTAAATGGGTGGCTATTTTTTATTGGTTAGTGGCCTGATATGCTTGTTACCAGCAGTTGTATGCATGCAGTTTGAGCAATGATGCCAAGCCACTAATGACATTAGCATGTATTTCTTGAAATGGGCAGATCTGAACTTGCTCGCAGAGTTGGGACACATGACTTGGCTGAGAGTATAATGGCCTTTAATACAAACTATCAAGATGTTGGGTTATTTGGTATCTATGCTACTGCTATGGTAAACAGTTTGTTTTTCTCCATAGTTTGCTATTGATTATTTGTGCTTTTTTGTTACTGCTTTTAAATGAATATCTACTGTTTCTTTGAACTATCTAATTATTGAATTATTTGTTGTCTAAGCTATGAACATGGGTAGGGAACTCTTTCTATGCCTTTTTCATGTTTGGCATTGATAATTGTTTCTCTTCTTTTTTACTATTGTATACACTTTTCTAAAGTTCTATCATCGGACTTTTGGTCTTCAACAATGTCTTATTTCAGCATTCTCTCTGTGTGTTTGTGTGTGTGTGTGTGTGTGTGTGTGTGTGTCAGTGTTTTAAAATGCGGGATGCGACCTTGATGCTGTGGGGGGCCGATGCGGCGATGCGGCCCAGATGCGGGTGCTGCGCGATGATGCAGTCAATAAATGTAAAAAAATTCTAAAAAATCTAAAAAAATAAGTTAATGCATAGAAAAAAAATATGAAGGTGATATATGTGACAATAGGTATTTTAGTTTAATGATTAACTTCAAAACTATTAGCTGTCTGAGATTCTGTATCGAGTTATCCACTATCCCCTGATAGAAACTAGAAACTTGAAACCAGCTTCATAAAGCATTCAACAATCAACAACCATCAGCACAAATTTGTACCGTAAGCACAACTATAATTCAGCACAACCATCAACAACCATAAGTACAACCACAAGCACAAAATAATGATATTACAAAATACAAATCAAAAGTCAACCTCAAGAAGAGTTAATAGTTAATAAATAATAACTTAATACAATCATCCATATTGAGAGTCAATTTTGAAATTTGAACTTCATTTTTTCAAATATCAATCAGACAAGTCATCTTGAGAATCGTCATACGCATCATCAATATCATCCTTGACGGCCTCCATGTATTCTTCTTCATCGGTCTCCTTTGAGTCAGTTTCCTCCTTGACCTTTGAAGCTAATGTGTGAGTGCGACTAGACCCAACAGCTCCTCTACTCCTTTGTGCTCTAGTGTTAGGTCGATCTTCTTCATTAACCCTTGTTGCTAGCTCGACATCAAGCCATGTAAGATCCTCACCCTCAAGCACATACTCTTGTCTTGGATCCACGGTCCACTCACTTATGGAATCACCATCAGCTTCATATAATTGAATAGGGTTGAGCTTCGTGCGATTTTCATACCTCTCCCTAAGCAGCTCGTTATACCGCACATAAACCAAATCATTCAACTTTTTCTGCTCCAACTTATTTCTTTTTGTTATAGGAGCTGTGGTAGAAATTTGAAATTAGATAAATTAGATTTTAGATTTTAGATTAGAAAATTGAAATTCAAGAAATAAAGATTAAGGACTAAGGAGTAAAGGACTTACATGCTCAAATGCACTCCAATTGCGCTCACAACCAGATGAGCTACATGTGAAATTCAACACTCGAATAGCGAGACGTTGTAGATTTGGTGTCTCGCTTCCATATAATGCCCACCATGCAGCTGTATAATATTTTATAATTTAGAATATAGTTAAAAATTAAGGGTATAAAATAAACAATGAAACTATACATAAAGTAAGAGACAAGTAAGATTATTTTTGGGCTTTTGACGTTTACCTGGTTCTGTAGTGTCAGTATTTTGAGTGGCAATATCTCTCCCAAAGTTTCCAAGGCTAACTTTAACTTAATCAATTCATGGCTCTGGATCTCATCCTGGATATCTTTGTCTGGCACCAACCCCTCCAGCACATCTAAGAACCCACCATTTATTACACGATCTGACTCAATGGATCGGTGCTTGTAGTGAAGAGATGGGTTTAAAAAATAACCGACTGAATGGAGGTGCCTGTGAAGTTGGGTATCCCATCTCCTATCAATAATTTCAAGTATAGCCTTGCGCAGATTTTCATCATCCTTTAAAACATCTTTTATTTCAGTTCTTGCCCAAGTCATTGCCTCATGTATGTAGCCCATGGCGGGCTTCGCATTACCATCAACCAGTCGAAACACTCTCATTAAAGGGCGAGCCACCTCCAATGCAATAATTATTTGACTAAAAAAAGATGTATTCAGAATAATTTTTTCAGCCTTTCTCCCATCCTTTTGCTTTGACCATTAGTTTTGACTCCATTGCTTTGAAGCAAACATGGTCCTCAAGGCACTTTTTTGCTTGGCCAGGCTTCGAAGAGTGAGAAATGACCTGGCAAATCTAGTGATACCCGGTCTCACTAATTCTCTCTTCTTTGTAAAAGACTTCATCATGCTTAGGACTATGGTGTGATTGTAAATAAATCCAACAACAAACATAGCTCTTGAAATCACCTCATTAAATAAAGATGTTGTACCCATTTCCTTAAGCATAAGATTAACACACTGAGCTGCACAAGGAGTCCAAAACATATACTTCCTTTTCAAAGTCAAGAAATACCCAGCTGCAGCATAGTTGGCACCGTTGTCAGTGATAATTTGTACCACATTTTGCTCCCCAATAAAATCGACAATCTCATCCATCAAGCCAGATAAGTATATACCATCATGTGACTTGTCTGATGCATCAATAGACTTTAACAAAAAAAGTACCTGTTGGGCAGTTAACCAAAAAATTAATGAATGCCTTTGATTTCCCATCGGACCAACCATCACACATAATAGTGACCCCATATTTCTCCCACCCTTCTCTCTGAGAAATCAAAATTTTATTCACATCAAATACAACATCCTTCAACAAGGGCTTCCTAACCTCATGTAGTGAAGGAGGAATAAGTCCTGGGCCATATTGCCCAATCGCCTGGACCATACATGCAAAACTATCCAGAGTTATAGTATTAAAAGGAATGTCGACCATGTAAATCCACTTTGCAATCCACTTACATACTGACTTCTTTTGTTCTTTCTTATATTTATTTTCAATTGTGGTTTGTTTTATTTTTTACTTTCTCTCCTGAACCATAATTTCGGGGCTAGGGGTGAAAAAAGAATCCATTTGCCCCTTAGAGAGAGGTGTTCTTCTCTCAGCACTACCACCAATATTTATAACCCTCTCTCTTGAGATTGGAGTATGAGTACCCCTTTGCCTCATGGCAACTTCAGACATACCATCATCATCATCAACATCATCAAATAATTGCATGTCATGAAGTAATTCCTTTCTTTTTTTTTTTCTTTCTCTTTATCTTTTTTCAATCTATCCAAATAATCTCTAATCTCCTTTCTTATATCATCTGTAGCTTGTGGGCATGCTCTTACATTCCCAGAAAGTTTGGCTAAATGCTCTTTTTGTCGAAAAATACCACCCATATAAGTATTTCCACAGAGCAAGCATATCACACAATTTCTACCTTTCGGATTTTTTAGTTTAGCATATTTCCAAGTTGGATCCTTGTTACTAAAAGATTTGGAAGAAGACATTGCCCCAAAAATAAGTATAACAATATTATTGTACAAGAAGGCATAAAAAGTTACCGACTTTGTGAAGTAGTGCTCGCTTTCTTCACGGCCTTTGAAATCCCCAATTTCTTATCACAAATTCACGTTAACATCCCCAAATCAACAATCAAAAGCATCAAATGAACATCCACGTATCAAACAACCGCCAAATCAAAGATTTGGATGAAAAAAAATTTTCGCCAAATTTTTTTTTTCCTTCGATTTGATGCAAAAAAAGCCACAAAAGTGGCTGGAAATCTTCGTTTAGGGGGTATAGTAACCCCCCAAACAGTTTCCCTAAACTTTGGAACTACAAAAAGATCATTTTGCCACTCCCTGAAGGGCAAAATCGAAAAAACAGATCGCAGAAACAGATGAGGCGAGATGCGGTGCGATGCAGGATGCGGCCTGATGTGGCGCATATGCGGTTGCATCTGTCAAAAGCGCGATGCGGTCGCATTTTAAAACACTGGTGTGTGTGTATGAAAATATCTCCATACTGTAGTTACCCGAATTGTCTATGAGGGTAGCGATTCCATTTCGGAATCTCGATTCGGCGTTTCCCCGGGCGCAAGTCGATTCTAAAAGAAAGGATTCACGTTTTCATTTTTTGCGGAACGCAATCCTACCTAGTTTAGGAATCTCGATTCCTAGATTGCTGGAATCAAGATTCTATATCTAGGACTTTATGATTCTTAGCTACACAAGAATGCAATTGTGCTTGTGAGAGTTGATTCCAAATTTTTTGGAATTGCGAACCCATATTGTTTGGAATCAAGTTTCTATATCGCAGACATTGTGATTCCTTGCTACACAACAATGCGATTCTACTTATGCTAAATGTTGATTCAAATTATTAAGAAATTGGGAATCCATGTTGTCAGGAAGCAATGTGAGCATAGGGAGAGCAGAAACCCTTTGATGTGTGCTCAATCATGAGTGAGCACGACATGTATGAGATCATGAGAGAATTTGAAGTTGCTGCACACGACAATAAATCAAAATTTAAATATGAGTAATATGTGAGCATAGGGAGAGTAGAAACCCCTCGATGTGTGCTCAATCATGAGTGAGCGCGACATGTATAAGAGCGTGAGAGAATTTGAAGTTGTTGCAACAATAAAATCAAAATTTTAAATATAAGTAATATGCTAAATTTTTTATTTTCTTATTTAGTAATTTCCATCCTTCATTCCATGTTACTTTTTAAGAACTCTTTTTTAAGAACTCTTACAAAGAATAAATAATACTAAAAAAATATGTTATTTCAAATTTAATAATGTTTGGTAAATGGTGTGGGCCCTAAACTACTAATGTAATAATGTTTAATATATGATCGACATTGTCATTTCTTCAAATTGAATAAGAGGATAAAAAGCTTTTCTTTAAGTAAAATAAGAAGATAATAAGAATATGAGCGAAGTGCCATGTGTGGTGTTTTAGGTTAAGTTAATCATTAAATATCAGAGAAATTGACTAAAAATTGAATAATTCAATTTTCAAAAGTCAAAAGACTCGAAACTATATTTAAGAAAGAAGAATTACTATGTCATGTACTTATTTTATATTTCAAGGAAAGTAGATAAAGGGAGCTTTCCCT